TATATAAACAATATTATTTACAAGATATTATAAAAAACTTTAAAATATAATCCAAATTCATAAGAAAAATATAAAATTAGTAGTAAACATGGAAGTTTTTAGTGTTACGCAATGGAATAATATGGAACAAAAAAATACGTCTGAGTAAATAGTAGATAAATGAATGAGAGATAATGAAAAATATGTATTTAAGACCTTCCAGACTACATAAAATCATAAGAGTTACATATTGAACTCGTATTGAATAGGAGATTCCAATAATGACTGAATATACAGGGTGATGAATTTGAAAAATCAAAGTTACTAATATTATAAGTGAAACGGCAAATCTGACAACATTGCAAATATCAAATATGGAATCTCCGTATCCCCAAATAGGTGTACCTCAAATTTTGTACAATTACTAGCAATTTACGAGATAATTGGCCGTTTCCAGACTTTTGGGCCACCCTGTATAAATAGGAGAGATAGAGAAGGACGAACCCTCCCTTTTACGAGAGAATCAGAAGATATGTCTCTCTCTATTTAATTCAATTCCCAAAATTTTTTGATCAAACAAATATCTCCCGCCTGCAATAGGTGATCTAACTCTTTCTAAATACAATAAGCTTGAGATCCCCCATGCAACAATTATTCAATCCTTTTAAAACATACTTGCTTTTCTACCATATCATTGTCATATCGATCCATTCATTGTCGTAACAACCAAAACTATTGATGGTGTAGGATCAGCAGTTATATCTCCGAACATTGTATTACAGTTTAAATTACTTTCCACTTGCAGTATTTCCTCTGGAGAACTAGACCCAATTCTGCAAGCTCTCATTCATATACGTACCCAAAAATTTCCAAATTCTGTCATAATTACCGACTCTCTCTGCATTACATACGATAGAACAGTAGTTATATACAAGTAATGCTATAGGTACTTTAATAGAAGAACAATTACATTTACTAAACAACAGGAGGCAGCTAGTACGCTTTATCTGGGTCCCTACACACATTGGAGTTCAAGGAAATGAAAAAGCAGATTTTCATGCCAGAGAAGCAATACACAGTTCCTCCCCAGTGTTAGTGGACTTCTGTTCACACAGTCTGTTTCCTACTATAAATCGTTCCTTAAAGAACAAGAAATGAATAGGAAAACGCATGAAATCTTTCACAATCAACTCTACACATCGTAAAACCCTCAACCAAATCTTGGTGCCAGATAAACTTTAATTGCTAGCTGTTTGTTAACCTAACCTGTTCATTAGTAATCATTACTGATCATTACATCACAGTAAAACATTACTGATCATGTTGATCGGATCCCAAGATCCGGCAGGGGAGGATGCACACAAACAAATAGTAGGGCCTCCCTGGTCGTCAGCCAGCGAAATCCCTACGGCCTAAAAAAGGAAGCAAGTTCTCAACACCTAAGGATTGGAACTTGGAATGTACGAAGTATGTACGAGAGCGGCAAAACTCATAATATTGTAAAAGAAATGAAAAGATTAAAAATTGATATATTGGGAATTAGTGAAACACACTGGCAAAACTCTGGACAATGCGATATACTTGGATATAAAGTTTACTATGCTGGAAACAACACAAAACATCACAGAAACGGCACTGCAATAGTAGTTGCCCCACATATTAATTCGGCAGTAAAATCTTTCACTCCCCATTCAGATAGAATGATGCTTTTACAAATTCGAGCAACACCGGTGGATATTAATATATTACAGGTATACGCGCCAACGGCAGATAAAGATGAGGCAACCAGCGAAGAATTCTACGAACAACTGGGAAGCCTGATGAAAATGACAAAAAAACATGAAGTAACAATAGTGATGGGAGATTTCAATGCAAAGGTTGGCAGAGGCAAGGTGAATGAGATCGTGGGAAACTTCGGCCTAGGGGAGAGAAACGATAGAGGTGATAGACTTATATGCTTCTGCCAGGAATATAACCTGCTGTTAAGTAATACACTCTTCAAGCTCCCCAAACGTCGACTTTACACATGGAAATCCCCCGCTGACTCACCTGACAACATCATTAGAAATCAGATAGATTATATAGCAGTACCAACAAGATATAAAAACATGATAAAATCATCAAAAACGTACCCAGGTGCCGATGTTCCTACGGACCACAATGTGTTGGTATGCAGAATGGTCATGAGAGTAAAACGGCTCGAGAAAAGATCTAATTTAAACACAATCGATATTAAAAAACTCACTAACCCAGAAACCGAAATAAAAGTACGAGAACAACTAGGAAAGAAAATAAAGGACATTAACGAGAACACGTCGGACATAATAGAGAGATGGGATAAATCGAGGGAAGCAATCCAAACAACATGCGCGACTCTATTAAAGCGAGACCGACGAAAAAAGAAAGAATGGATGTCTGATGAGATAATGGATATGATGGATGAAAGACGTAAATTCAAGAATAAAAATGCAGAAAAATACCAGCAGATCCACAAAACCATAAGAACGAAAATTCGAGAAGCCAAAGAAAAATGGTTTTCCAACGAATGCAGGGAAATAGAACAATACGAACGAAAATACGACAGTTACAATATGCACAAAAAAATAAAATCGATGACAAACAAGAGGAAATTCAATAAGTCACCCAACAGCATAAAAGATAGCGATGGAAATCTTATCTCGGAGCCATCAACGATCTTAAAAACATGGAAATCATACATAGAAAAATTATTTGCATCTAACAGGACTGATGATCACCTATATGGAGAAGGAGAAACAGGACCTTCAATTCTTAAATCGGAGATAGAAGATGCCATTGCAGCACTAAAAAACAATAAGTCAGCAGGTCCGGACAATGTACCCTGCGAAATATTAAAGATCCTATGTAAATCAGACAAACAGTTCCTTGACAATCTAGTTGTACTTTTTAACAACATATATAATAGCGGTAAAATCCCGGAGAACTGGCTACAGTCAACATTTATTACAATCCCGAAGAAACCAAATGCCCAGATTTGTGATGACTACCGGCTCATAAGCTTGATCAATCATGTCACTAAAGCGTTCACTAAGATCATTCACAGAAGAATATATGATAAATGTGAGTCAAATATTGATAGATCGCAGTTTGGTTTTCGGAAAGCACTTGGAACTAGAGAAGCAATTTTCGCTCTCCAGGTGCTTATACAACGGTGTAGAGACGTTGATAAAGACGTGTATCTGTGCTTTGTAGATTTTAGAAAAGCATTTGACAATGTCAATCATGAACAATTGATAGGTATTCTGCGAAAGACAGGTATTGACGACAAGGACATTCGAATTGTGGCAAACCTATACTGGGGTCAAACAGCAAGAGCAAAAATTGGCAACGAACTCACTGAAAGCGTGCAGATCAAAAGGGGTGTCCGTCAGGGGTGTATATTATCCCCACTCCTATTCAATATGTATTCCGAGGAAATATTTAACAAATGTATGGAAAATGCAAATGAGGGCATTAAAATAAACGGCGAGTTAACGAACAATATAAGATACGCCGACGACACGGTGATCCTTGCCAGTACCATAGACGAATTACAACAAGTAATGGAAAGACTTTATTCAGTTAGTGAGGAATACGGCCTGAGCCTCAACTTCAAGAAGACAAAGTGGATGCTGATAAGCAAAAAGCAACAACCTGCTCGACAATTACGGATAAGTAACATATTAATTGACCATGTAGAATCTTATGTGTACCTTGGCACCAACGTAAATGCAAAATGGGAACAGACCATAGAAATTAAGGCGAGAATAGAACGAGCTAGAGCAGCATTTAGCAATATGAAAAAGCTCCTCATAAGCAAGGATTTGTCTCTTCCCCTAAAACTACGTATAGTTAAATGCTACATTTTTCCGATCTTGCTGTATGGCGTGGAGGCCTGGACGCTGACGGAGACGCTAACGAGAAAACTAGAAGCATTCGAAATGTGGGTGTACCGACGCATTCTTCGTATATCCTGGACCGAACATGTCACCAACATAGAGGTACTCCAAAGAATCGGAAAGGAGAAAGAAATCGTGAATACAATTAAACAAAGAAAGCTTGAATATCTAGGCCACATATTGAGACACGATAAGTACCGTCTGCTACAATTGATTGTCCAGGGAAAAATAGACAGTAAGCGAGGGCCAGGCAGGAGAAGACACTCGTGGCTCCAAAATCTGCGGAAGTGGTTCGGGCTCACATCGGTCGAACTATTCAGAAGCGCCGCAAACAAGATCAAAATTGCCATGTTAATAGCCAACGTTCGCAACGGACAGGGCACTTGAAGAAGAAGAAGAACCTGTTTAGGTATAGGTCAAAGCATACTAACTCACAGTTACCTAATCTCCAAATCAAATCTCCCTATTTGTGACTTAAAAATACAGAACCGAAGATAAACTTGGTAAGAGAGAAAGGCAGGCATCTCTCTTTGGTTTGACACAGACGTGGTCGCTATTTCGAGTAAGGACTCTATTCTCTTCTGGATAAATCTTTAATCATCGACAATATGTCGCTTTCTTTTTAATTTGTCTAACATGTAAACATATCTATCGTATCAATAACAGTCAAATTTTTTACCCCTTGTTTTTATAAAATTAAAGTAGAATTACTTACTTTCAGATTGATGATAGTCTGGTAGGACCAAAAACGTTTTGAAAATTTTTTTAATCCTTTTGGATGTTTTTATAATTCTATATATTATACAATTACATTAGAAGTAATACACTTCATTGTAAGTTTCATAAGATGTTCGATACTTTTTAAACCGACAAAAACATAAAAAAAGAATAAAAACGAAATAAAAATCAACACTTTCTATGAATGTTAATAGACTGAGGTGACGTTGAGTGTGTAGTATTAACAACAAAAATGAAAAAAAAAACTCGTAAATGAAAGTGAAAGAATACATAGGTAATGACGAAAATGGTTACAAAGTTACTTCGAAAGCTAGTTTTCCAATGAAAATCACTTTTAAATTTATGTGCGCGGTGATATATATTTACCTGTTGTGGCCGGGAGGTTTATGAAGTGAATGCAGTGGTCCCAAAACATCTTCGCAGCTGGCTGGTTCAGAATGACCGGATGTCAGGCTTTCTGCCGATTTCACTGACCTTAACTTCCGTTTCATTTCTGTCAGATCCGATTCAGTTACGAATTTTTCCTAAAATATTCATTGTATTAGTGACAGTACAAATTCTTTCGAAACATTATTGATATACGTACGTTTATAGTAACCGGCGTGGAAGCCTTTCGATTTTTTGACATATTACCCTGAGTTTGATTTCTGGATTTCGAAAAGAACATCCTCCAGCCCAAAGGTGAACGTTTTGTATGGCCCCGCTTTCTTGCTCCTACAATAAAATCAATAAATAACCATTTATAAAATCTTCGAAAAAGATGAACGTGGCAGTCAGTGATAACCAAAATGTTTGAATGCAAAAATAATAGGCAGAATCAGAACTAATCTTAATACAAGGGTAGATTGTTTTCGGTATTTATAGATTGTGTTCCAGAATCTTACCAAAAAATAGCTAAATTATTTTATTAACTTTCATAAGCAATAATTTATAATTTGTGACATGTGTCATTTGTGACAAGTGTATAGTGGTCTTATGGTTCAATATTAAGTATATTAGGTCACAGGTGGATAATTTTACCACACTGTGATACTTGACAGAATGGATCCTTGTTCTTGAGATTTGTAGTAATAAATGACAGAATGGATCCTTGTTCTTGAGCTTTGTAGTAATAAAAATTGCTAGTTTTGTGAAGAGTTCAATTTGTACCGCGCTGACAATGTGAATCTGAGCTCACAAGTACACCACTCAAAACAGAGTGAGGAAGTTCTTATTCACAACATGGTGCGTCCTTATTGCTAATATATATTTTCCAACGGGTATATAGAACAGGTAAACTAAGCCATATTCTAAGAAGTTCCACAAATAAACACAACGAGCCATGGACCGTGCAATGTTGGCCTGAGCCTTCAAGACCACATAACAAACCAACAAATCAGACAAAGATCACACGTTCAAGACGACATGGAATGAATCACAACGCTAAAATCGAACTAGGCAGATCACTTAGTGAGAGCCTAAGTTGAACGGTGGACAAGATGAATCATGGAATGAAGAAACTATAAAAGCTGAGGACAACCACCGACTAGATGGACCGATGACGTGAAAATAGTAGGGGTAAACTGACTACAAGCGAAAAAGTGTAGAAAACATGAGGGAAGCCTGTCTCTAGCAATGGATTGGCTGAATTATGATGACGACGATGATATATAATAGGCAGATATATGGGTCTGTTGACAGAGAGGTGTGAATAAGGTATCATCGAATGAACACCCGCGAATCATCTGAGAAAGTAGGTGCTGCAGACATACAATTATTGCTTGATACACATAAATACACGCGCACACACACTAACAGCACCAAAACACATACATCTATACCATAAATCAATCAGTAAATGTATATACAGGTATACCATAACTGACTTATTATATGATGAAATTTGTGCTGCGACTACTGAGCTCCTCATTCCCGAGGTGTAACACCATCGTGTCCATTTGATGTATGGCACAGGAAAAAGAGGTGTCTAAGTGATGCCCTAAAGAGCTGGCGAACTCTGACAATTATAGCCTTGGCACGGTATGCCTACAGTGTTTCGTCCGGACTCTTGAGAGAGTACAATGATCACGAGACAAAAAGTAATGGCTTGGAAGAGTACTCTGAAATGAGCCATTCTGATGGAGAATGGGACAACAGATATTATTATATATATATTATTATATATATATATATATATATATATATATATATCTGTTGTCCCATTCTCCATCGTTTAGGCCTCTCTTACTCATGGCGTCGTCTACTTCGTTCCTCCAGGATAATCGGGTCGTCCTCTTTTCCTCGTTCTTATGGGGCTCCATTCGGTCATTCTCTTTATCCATCTATTGTCGCTAGTTCTCCTTACATGACCATACCACTTAAGTCTTTTTTGTTCTATATATGTTAGTATGTCTCTTTCTATTGATGTTCTTTGCTTTATTTCGTCATTACTTCTCCTACCCATTCTTGTTACTCTGCAGCATCTCATCGCAGGCATTCCATCTCTGTTGTTACTATCTCTCTGTTTTTATCTTCATATTTAGGTCTCTATCCCACCATACTGAGTTAAGTTGTCGGATTGTTGTTCTTGTTTGTCCTAATCTTTGTCTAATTTCTTCCTCCGTGATTATAAACCCCAAGTATTTGAATTTCTCCTTTCTTTTGATTGTTACGTTGTCATCAATCTGTAGATCTTCTATGTCTTCTTCATTTGTAGATAGGTATTCTGATTTCGCGATGTTAATATCTAGGCCAGCCTTGGTAGGTGAGGTCGTCTTGGTCTTGTGCAATCACTACTTGATCGTCTGCAAAGCTTAACGTTTATAGGTATTCGTTCCGTACCGGTACTCCCATGCCTTCGCATTTTCCTTTCCACGTAGTTGAGTCATTTTTGCATTTCTAAAAATAAAAATGTATATGATTGAGGCCGCTGACCTCGTCTTTGTTCTAAATGGGTCCCTATGGTCATAATCAGTGCCTACAAATAAATCTTCAGCACATTAAAGCAGGTTCCGCAGAACTAAGTGTTCCTATGGAAAAGTTAGATGCCTGACTTTGTATAATAGTTAATAAAATATGTACAATAAGCCAATTAGCTAGTGATGAGCAAAGAGCATCAAGAGAAGAAAGAAAAAAAGAGGACTCCAGTACCTAGACCTTGATATCGAAATATTTTTTCTTGTAGGGTGGATTGTGCCAGGCATATCCGTATTTATTTCACAGTATGTGTCCAAAGTACGGCAGCTTTCGAGATTTAATTGTTCCAGGGTGGATTGTGCCAGGCATATCCGTATTTATTTCACAGTATGTGTCCAAAGTACGGCAGCTTTCGAGATTTAAATGGTTTCGACCTCGTCATTTGTGACTCAATCAGTTAAGTATTCCCTGATCTAGCATCTCAAATGCTTTTTAAAAATACAATGAAAATGAGAGATGACGTAGCATCGCAGCATTCTTACGATAAGTGCTTAATGTTTAATATCATACATTAATTTGTGGCTTTGGAGGGGGGTCAGTTAGAAGAACACTAGCTACCCTGTAAAGTCGTTTCTTTGTTATAACTGCCTATATGAAGTTGATAGCAAAGCTATCTTTGATTTTTCAGCGTAAATCTACCAAAATCTACTCGGTGCATCTGCGATGCCTATTTTTTCGATAGTTTCTTCTATAGGTGGTGGTATTGGTCGTCCTTCACGCAGATAATCTTCAAGCAATGTACAAACACACAATGTTAAATTACGCTATCCATTTTTGGACTCACATCTGGTATTTTTACGCAAAGAACTTTTTATCTTTCTTTCGTAACTGATCAAATTCTGGATTCAGTTAAACTGGTGCTGAAAATTCTGGATTCAGTTTAGTAAATGATACTCCAAATTCTGATTTATGTTTAACATTAGTGCAAACTAGCTCTAAAGATGATTGGACACAAGCACCTAGCAAATATTTAATAAATATTTATGAATTTTAAGACTGAAAATTTGATAGAGTAATTCCTACATATAGCATACTTTGCAGAATGTCGATGAATACTAATATATCTACATTGTTTTATTGTATAAATATGAAGTGCTGGACCTACGTGAGATCTTACCTTTAGCCACACAACTTTCAGAACATATCACATGCGAAAATCTGACATGCTTGGAAATGTTTTTCTTACTTTGTAGAATACCAGCACGTTTGAATACAAAGGAAGCTAAAGAACCAATAGGTCTTGAGCCAAGTCCTAAGAAATAATAATTTATAAAATTACGTTAATTTTCTAGGTTAATTTCTTTGCGTGAAAACGAAAAACAACGAATGATACGAATAATAACTTATTTTAACAAACCTTGTTTAGTCTGCTTGTGTTTAAGCTTAAATACATATTTATGGAATGTGTCTAAATCAACAAACCGTTTTTACAATGGTATTTTAAAATGTGACCTTCCTAGTTTTTTAACTGTTAATTTAAAGATTATAATACTCATAAAATTGAGTAATTCAATATATTATTTTCATTCTTACGATTTTCGTTAATTTTAAAAAAGATCCAATGAACGACATGTTCAAAAATATCAATACTTAAACCCTAAATGTAATACTACTTACTAATCAATCGTACTTACCCGAAGGTAACTCTATTACAGTATGATACTTCTTAGGCAAATTCTTAGGACCTCCTCCTACTTCGATGTAGTTGCATTCTTCGGATTTGTTTGGCAAATGTTTATTTCTTGCTTCTTCTAACGTGATCAATTTTGTTGGAGTAGAAATGGCCAAACTGTTTGGCCTACACTTCTTCGATAAGAGGTTTTCGTTTGTCAACGTTGGTTGGTCGAAGTTGGGTAGATGATCACAGAATATTAAGTCGGCGTAACAGATTAGAAATTCAGTTACGACTGCCTGAAAATCAACCAATTTTTAGAATATAGAAGATTATTATCGACGGACAGCAACTTAGACAATGTCAAAAGTAAAAAAAATGTCGCCCGAAATTATATTCCAATAATGATCTAACATACTAATAGAACATTTTTAAAGTGTTCAAATTGTGTTGTCATCTGTCATTATCTGCCATATGACCTTTTGGAAGTATTCGCGATGTAAACTAACTATAGGGGGAGCTTTGTCAGATGCTCAGCTGATCAAGCATGTAAGAAAACAAACCAGACTGCCATAGCCGTAGCACGTGAAACATCATTGACAAGGGAAACAATCTCTGTATTTATTACCTTCCATTAATTTTTAATTAGTTCAATAATGGAAAATAAAGATATTAAAGTTCGTCTTGTGGATATTTTTAAATATGTAGCGACACACTTAGTCCTTTAACAGAAGACTTGTATTAGTGTACAAGTTGTATTAAAGTATATATTAGGTACATACACTTGGTACAGTATAAATCCAGATGCACATCATAGTAGGTGACGTCACGTGATATCAACACAAAATGTTTAAGTCGTAGGTCCGTTCCTTCTTAGAATATTTTCTCTCTCTATAAAGTCATCATCATCATTTGGCTCTACAACTCTATGTGAGCTTTGGCCGCGTTTACTATTTGCCTCTATTGTTGTCGCTCCTGAACAGCTATTTCCCATTGCTGTATTCCCATTTTGTGTAGATCACTGGCTACTGCATCCTTCCATCTCTTTCTTGGGCGATCAACTGACATTCTGCCATCGGGTCTTTCCCAGAATGTGGCATTCAGGAGTCTTTCGTCACTCGATCTTATTACGTGGCTGGCCCATCTTATTCGGTTTGATTTAATGTAGCGTATTATATTTTCATCTCCATGTACTGTCTGGAGCTCATCATTGTGTCTTCTCCATGTAGATACTAATTTTATCTATCTATCCTAAAGGAGGATCTAGCTTTTCCGATGCGTGCTCAAATCTCCTGGTTGTTGGTCCATTCTTCATTTGTTACGGTGCCGGTGGTAGTCGTAGTACGTCACTCTTTCTACAGGGGATTGGTTGACGTAGAGTTGACCTTCTGTTATCCTTTTCTTGCTAATTATCATAAGCTTTGTCTTCTTAACGTTTATATTGAGTCTACATTGTTGACTATAATACGTGATTGTGTTCATAAAAACTTCTAGTAGGTCTTCTAAATTCTCCGCAAATACTATGGTGTCATCTGCATATCTGATGTTGTTTAGCCAGTAACCATTTAGTAGAATACCTTTTTCAGTTTCGTGCAAAACTTCGATAAATACAGCCTTGCCTCACTCCACGCATGATTTTCGCATAGTCCGTATGTTCACCTTCATCTCTGAGATTTGCTGTCTGATTTCAATAAATATTTCTAATTATTTTCAGATCTTGGTTGTTAATTCCTGATTCTAGCTCAAAGGTGTTATATCTTTGGTCTTCAAATAGTTTTTCTAGATATCCTTTCCAAGTTCTTATTTTACTCTGTTTGTCCAATGTGATGTTTCCGTCAGAATCAGTTATATTAGGCCTATAAAGATACAGAAATTCTAAAGTACCGTTACATTCTCATAAAAGCCTATATCGACACCTCTCATAACAAACAGATTACAGTAATAAGACCTATATAGAATATGAGATTCTCTATATGCGGTAATTGCAAAGGGTTTTTAAAATTAATCTTAGTAATATATAATAATAAGTTACTAATGTTCTAATTATAATCCAAACATCGCCCGTGAAGGGGTACACTCTTTAATAATGGTCTATCTATCTTTAATGTATTTTTTGGTCTATATGCTGATAGTCACTTAATACTTCAGTAAATACAACTGTCTTACCTGAACTCCAACACCTTGTAAAGCTGCTACGCCTCCAACTTCCAACGCCTCGCACCTTAAAAGATTAGGGGCCCATACAATGGCAACGTTTCTTGTCGTCATTCCCGTGCTAGCTCCATGTTTTGCTACTTTCGCCAAATGCCTCATCAAATACTCCAGGGTCCTGCAACAAACACAACAATAAAAAAAATGATGTTGACTGCTAATGGAAAGTATTGACTGGAAATTAATTTTCACATTAGTAAGGAGAGAAATTTAAATTGAGCCCATGGGTATAAATCTGGATGTTGTATACATTAAAAGCTGGGATGTTGTTATCCAAATATATTAGAGCATTACACTATAACAACACAAATCATTAAGTCCACATCAATAATTATAATATAAGCGAGGTTCCTACAGCCTCTGCGCTTCTCGGATTTCGACCACCATCGTTTTCTGTCCATCCATTCGTCTTCTTTGATGGCTATATCTATCATTATGTGCCGTACATTTTCTTCCCAGGCACCTGAAGGCCTTCCCCTTCTTCTTCTTTGTTGTAGTATGTAATTTAAAGCCTTCTTTAGCCATCTATCTTCATTCATTCGCTTCACGCGACCATACCACACTAGTTGTCTCGTTTCAATTCTGTCTGCACTAGAATATACACTATTTGTTCTCTTTCCAATATCTTCATTTCTGATATGATCTTTTTTGGATACACCACACGCTCTCCTTAGAAAATCCATTTCTACTACTTCTATTCTTTTTCTATCTTTTTGCGTAATCTGCCAAACTTCTGCCCCATAAGTCATAATAGGCTCTACCAAGGTTCGATAGATTGTCAATTTCGTTTCTGGTCTAATATCGTTAGACCATTGTAGAGAGTTAAGAATGTTTACCGCTATTTTCCCGGCTGCATTCTGTTTTCGATGTCTCTTTTGGTAGTGCCTTCTTTAGATACTATAGATCCGAGATATTTACATTCATTACATGTTTTTGTGTTTCTAATTTCTAACCCTGGATCTTCTTCATCATCTCCTATTTTAAGATACTCTGTCTGACATATTCATATTGAGGCCCCATTTTTCATATTCTTTCTTTAGTTTTCTAAACATGTAGTCCATGTCTTCCTCGTCATTCGCTAGGATACTTCATCATCAGCGAAAAAGGTACAAAAAACGAATATACCATCAGTGCACGATCTTCCTGCACGAAATCCATTTTGTTCTTCTATGTCTTCGTATTCTGATTCTATTCTTTCTTTTATTATTCGACTGTACAACCTCACCACTGAGCTGATAACACTTATTTCCTTATAATTAGAGCATTTGCGTTTATCCTATTTCTTGCCTTCCAACATTCCAATCATCAGGGATATTTTGTCCTTTTAAGCATTTGTTAAATAGTTGAACCAACATCTCATGTAATATTTTTGGTCCATAATTTACCAACTCAATTGGGATGTCTCGAAGTCCTGCTGCTTTACCGTTTTTCGATCTTTTGAGGGCATCGCTTAACTCTCCGGTTGTTATCTCAGTTACTTGTGTATGTTCGCATATTTCTTCCATTTTAATCTCTTGGAATTTACATCTATCCTCAGTCAGTAAGACCTCATAATGGTGTTTCCACTGTTTTAGTTCTATTAACTGTAAGTTAGATTTTTTCTTTCCTTCCCTCCGGAGAAACTTTATCACCTTCTACACTTGCCCAACTCTTGTTCCACCCATATACCTATCCACCCCTGCACATCTTCGATACCACATCTTATTTTTACTTTTCACTACTTCGCTTTTTACATCTCGATTTAATATTTCATATATATTGTAATCTTCCTCCTTTCTCGTTGATATCCATTTCTGATAAGCAGTTTTCTTCTTGTTGACTAACGTTTGCATATTCTCCGACCACTATTCTTGATTTTTTGTTTCATGTTTGTCTTTAAACCCAAAAGCTTTACTTGCAGCCTCATGAATGCATTTTTTAAGTTGCAGGTATGATTCTTCCGCTGATATATTTTTATTTAGCCTGTCAAAAAAAAAAAGGAATCATAGATTCATCAATACATATAGACTTTATTAGATCTGTACTGAATTCCAACTTCTTCAGTAAAATTGATTAGCCCAAACTATCAAAAGCCTTTGACAAATCTAAAAAGATTTCCACAGAAAGATGTTAATTTTTATTTCATAGTTGTAGAGATGATGATGAATACTTGGCACAAGAAATAATAAATGTGTTTCTTTGTTTTCTTCCCAGGCCTCGCTTTAATTCACTCTCAGACACAAGATTTAACAGATTTGCGAAAATATTTTTATGTATGCCAGAATACTAACAAATTTCAACAAATAATAAAAAAGGATAAATTTTACAAACAAAACATTTTCGGCACTAAAAACAAACAAACAAATTCAAATTGTCTAAATAAACTATTTGGCGAAATAATTCCTAACAAATATTTTGTTATGAATGAAAATAAAGGTTATAGAGGGTATCACAATACTTCCATATTTAGTGGGAATAAATCATAAATTTAATTGAAAGTCCGTAAAATTTAACGTTTTCATTTCCATCTACTTTTCTCTGAGCAGCTATTGAGAGCTATCAAGATAATTGGCGGATATATCTCTATCGAAGGTTGTGGACCAAATCTTCGTGGACTTTTAAAAAGGACTTTTGTTAGAAGAGAAGCATTGTGGGAGACCATGGTAGAAATGGGAGTACCTGGAAAGCTGGTACGATTAGCACATGTGAGCACAGAGAACGCTTCCGCACGGCTCAGAATTGGCAGCACCACGTCGGAGGAATTCCCCATTGACACCGGCTTAGACAAGGAGATCCTCTTGCCCCTGCTATTTAATTTTGCACTGGAACATGCGGTAAGGAAAGCTCAAGCACAACTGACAAACAAATTTGCCGCCTAAGGATCAAAAATACTATTGGCGTTTTGCGGCTGACGTGGACATAATTGCACAATCCACCAGAGATGCAAAAAAGTTTTCACCCTATTCGAAAAAAAGGGAGCCAAGAAAGTTGGTCTGAAGGTCAACGAGGACAAGACCAAGTACATGGTGGTTATGAAGAACACAAGGCCAAGAATTAGACAAAAGACAAAGTACATAGTGGTTACGAAGAACCCAAGGCCAAGGATTACACAAAATGTAACAATCAATGAATACAACTTTGTCGTCAAAGAATTCAAGTATATAAGAGCGATCATAACATCTGAAAATAAATATAAAAAGGACGTGGCAGCCAGGATCATTGCAGGAAACAGGGCAAATTACTCATTACTGACCGTACTTAAATCAAAAATACTCTCAATACCAGCAAAAATAAGAGTGTAAGACAATAATTCGTCCCACAACAACGCATGGAAGCGAGACATGAACTCTAAACCAGCGGGAAACGATAAAATTACTGGTACTGGAAAGAAAGAGACTGCAGACTATCTATGGGCATTGCAGAGAAGAGACAACAGGAGAATGGAGAAGAAGACACAATGATGAACTCCAGACAGTATATGGAGAAGAAAACATAGTTCTTCTTCTTCTGGTTCCTATCCGTTTCGGATGTTGGAAATCATATTGGCAATCATAACCTTGCTCGTCGCGGCTCGAAACAGCTCCGTTGAGGTTTTCTTAAACCATATTCTTAAATTCCGCAGCCATGATATTCTCCTTCTACCGGGTCCTCGCTTACCTTTGACTTTACCTTGCAATATAGACTGTAGCAGGGAGTAGCGGTGCTGATTTCTCATAACGTGCCCCAGATATTGCAATTTTATGCGTTTGATCGTAAACACAATCTCTGGTTCCTTCTTCATTTTCCTAGAACTTCCTTGTTCGTGATCCTTGCTGTCCATGATATTCTCAGCATTCTTCTATAAAGCCACATCTCAAATGCTTCAAGTTTTTTAATAGTGGTGTCTGTAAGCGGTCATGCCTCCGCCCCGTACAACAACACAGAGAAAACATAGCATCTCAAATGTCTCATTTTTGTATCAAGGGATATGTTGTGACTTTTGAAGATGGCGCTCATTTTGTTAAAGACCGTTCTTGCCTTTCCTATGCGGCACTTTATTTGCTGTAAATTGCTCCACTATTCGTTAATAATAGTTCCCAGGTAACAATACTGAAAACATAGTACGCTACATTAAACCAAACCGAATAAGAAGGAGGGCCACGTGCTAAGATCGAGTGACAAAAAACTCCTGAACGCCACATTCTGGTAAAGGCTCGATGGCAGAAGGTCAGTTGGTCGCCCAAGAAAGAGATGGAAGGACGCAGTAGCCAGTGATTTACGCAAAATGGGAAAACAGCAATGGGAAATAGCTGCTCAGATCGACAACAATGGAGAAAATAGTAAACGCGGCCAAGACTCACATAGAGTTGTAGAACCAAATGATGGAAGGTTGTCACTCCATTGTTGGCGCGAGTACTTCTTCTATCGTTCGATGACATATCTTGCTATTTTAATAACACTGGTATTCTCCATTCTAATTATATAACTTCTTTTTCTGCTTAGTATCTACTCGTTTATACCCTGTACGTAACATTTTTTTCTGATGTCTTCATTCTTCTTTCAATCGCTCAGCGTATTTCCTGTAATTCCCATCGTCATTTCCAATAATCTTTGCGTTTCTGGTACGTATGCCATTATTTGTCTTATATTGGCTTTATAAATTCTTGATTTCATATCTGTCTTTAACCAAATTTTTAGTCTGCAGCCGTAACTTACATCCAAATGTCCAGCTAGGAATAAATGGAGTCCAAGTACAAAATTCATCTCTTCAGTCCCACTCGTGCTTTTTGGTTCCAGTAGAGATTCTGTATAACTTTTGTCTGGATAACGTTTGGCCAGCACTGTTGTATTTACTAGAAGCATGGATACTAAAAGTACCAACGATGAACCGAATTAATCTATCTATCTATCTAATTAGCCTTCTTCGGTCCATCTTTGGACATAAGCCTCCCCAATCCTTTTCCATTCTTCTCTGTCTGTCGCTACAGTCATCCATCTAGAGCCCACGTGCTTCTTGATATCATCTGCCCATCTCATTTTGGACATTCCTCTGCTTCGTTTATATTCCCACGGTCTCCAACTTATAAGAATTTTGTTCCATCGGTCTTCTTTTTGTCTTATATTGTGTCCGGCAAATCTCCATTTCAATTTTGCAACTTCTTGTCTAACATCCTTCACTTTTGTTTTCTCTCTTATCCACTCATTTCTCTTCTTATCCATTAGTCTTATGTGCAACATTTGTCTTTCCATTGCTCTTTGGGTTTTTATGATTTTGTCCATGTTTGCTTTTGTAAATGTCCACGTTTGGGAACCATAAGTAAGAACAGGGAGTACGCATTGATTATATACTTTGGTCTTAAGATGCTGTGGATATCTTTTGTTTTTAAGAATGTAGCTTAGTTTGCCAAATGCCGCCCATGCCAGTCTAACTCGTCTCTTGATCTCTGCTGTTTGGTTCTCTTTGTTAAGTCTTATAGTTTGACCAAGATATATATAATCCTTAACTTGTTCTATTTCATCATATTAAGGCCTATCTTTCCAGCTTCTACGTCCAGTTCTTTCATCATTTCAAATAATTCTTCTTTTTTATCGGTTATCAATACGATGTCATCAGCGTACCTTAGATGGTTCAAGCATTGTCCACAAATTTTTATACCTTTTTTTCCCATTCTAATCTTTTAAAAGTATCTTCAAGAGCCTGATTGAAAAGTTTCGGTGATATTGTATCACCCTGTCTCACGCCTCTACTTATTTGTAATGATTTTGTTCCTTCATATACTTCAATTGTTGTTTTGGCTTACTTATATATATTGGTTATTAGTTCCGTATATCTGTGGTCAATTCGGCTGTTAATCAAAGAACTTTCCACTGCCCAATGTTCGACACTGTCGAAAGCCTTTTCGAAATCTATGAACGCCATATATAGAGGAATGTGGTATTCATTTGCTCGTTCTATAAGTATTTTCATACTTAGTAAATGGTCACTTGTGCTGAATCCCTTTCTAAAACCAGCTTGTTCTTTCGACTGGTATCCATCGAATTTTGTCGTCAATCTATTGGTTAACCAATAGAACCGAATTAAAGCATTAGAAATTTGGATAATTCTTCTTCTTTTACCTTTATATTAGACAATTAATCTTCTTGTACCTCCTATGTATGTTTCAATATTTAAGCGGGTTCTTTTCCAATCTTCATTCTTTTGTTGTGTGATTTGTTTTTTCACTTGTCATCTTTTTCTCTATATTCTTTATAAACTTCATCGTTGTGACAAACCGATTTTCGATGTGACAATCATTAAATATAATAGAAAATATTTATTCTGTACTCTCCGTATTTGTATGTGTCAAGATCTTCCAAAATTATTATTCCTTAATTATATATAAACTAGGACTGACACAAACAAATTCCATAATATCTACTTTCTAAATGTCAAAACTTCCAGACATTAATGAATTCAAAGTTTCGTACATGTTTGCTTAAAATGTACATTATATTGAAATTGGCAAGTAGTATCAGATTTAGTGGTGTTATAAACTTTCAACTGCACTGTAATTAAATGGATGTTGTGACTGAACTAAAAACTGACTTTAACTGCAAGAGCCAATTATTATGTTTGATAGCTTGTATTTGAAGTATCGCAATATTCTATTTATTTTTTTTGTCTCTAATAATGTACACTTGAGTTCAAAACAAGGGACTCAAAAACTAGATATGAGATTACACCTCCTGTTTCAATGTAAAAAGTATGAAAATAAAAATATGTAATGTGCAAACAATAACTTTATTATTGAACTTACAAAAACTGCTACTGCATTATTTGGAAGACGCATTATAAAAACAATATGCAATACGAACAGAATTTTCTGTTCAGAGTATTTTGATAAATATTTATCATTGGAACGAATGCAAGTAAAACGTTATGAATAGAGAAATCATCAATTACATAATGAATTTTTATATTTTTCAATATTTGATATTACTCAATTCCATGATGCTTTGTGGTGCACGATTTCTGTCCCGGACTCTTCGTTTAAGCTCATCACAAACATGCTCTTTTTGATTTAAGCCAGGCTCAAAACAGGCCAATTTATTGTAGGTATACCGATCTCAGTCAGATATAGCTGGTGGTCATTCGTGCAGTATGGCATCGTACATAAACCACATGTTCCTCCAAATTGTTTCTGATGCAATGATCCGCCGTTAATCCTCCTCCACGCCCTCCACCAGGCAGGAAAACCAACTCAGTTTTCCCATTCATGAAAATGCCTACCCAAAACATACAAAAACTACCTCCATATGACACAGTTTTTCGTATACAACATTCATTAAATCGCTCTCCTGACATTCTATAAGTGTAATATCTGAATCCATTGATAGTCGTCCCGATCCAGATGTTCGCGAGCAAATTCTAATCGCCTTTGCTTCTGGGCTACAGTTAACTTGGGAGCTGCTCTTTTTGGTGTCAAGTTGGTTGCCTTCAGTCTCCTGACTATCCAAACGCTGGTAACCACATCTCGGACCTCTCTAAGCTCTTCTTTGAGGTTAGCACCAATCAAATGTCGATTTATCAGGGATTTCGATACAAGAAATCGATCATCTCTCTCCGTTGTTATTTAAATCTCTCTCGAATTTAGTCGATTTGCCACGGTTCTTTAGCTCAGAGGCCTTCTCTCAATAATACTACTACTTAAGCTGCTGTGACGGATGTGGCATCCATTTTGCAATGCACTTGCGAAGTTCGTATAAATGACATATTAGTGCGTACGATGTTAACCGAAACAAGTCGGTAGATCTGTGAATAAAAGTTACAAAACAGTCTGGTCATTTGGTTACGCCAAGGCATAGGTAAAAAGAAATGAAAAAAATTATAAACAAAAGCAATCAAGGGAAAATACCTACTCACAATTGGTTTTATTGTGCTGAATGGGCTGAAAGATGTTACAGTTGTTATAGGTTATAAATTATAAATACTAATTTATATTGAATATATATTTAAATGACCTGAGTGTATTGCAAGATATAAAGAGAATGGTCTGTATCAAGCATAATATCAGCTTGATTATACCAGGACACTGTTATACCAGACACTCAAACTATTTAAATATATTTAATATAAACTTTAAAAATTGTAACATCTCTCTTTTTTAGTGGTTAAGTATCTTTAATCAGGTACCTGACGATGAGATGAAAATTGCAAAACCCGAAACCGGTCCCAATTGCGAGAAAGTCTTATTTTTTCCTTTTCTACCTATTTATAAAAGGGACTATTTATAAAGGGAATTATATGTTCTGTTTAACAATAGGTTTTATTAAATGATTGCTTACCTGTAATGCGGCGGAGGCAATTTCTGTACTGTCTCCCGCATTTTTAGCAGCCTGTCATGGTCCGATTCTGAATTTCTAATCGCTGTGTTGCAGCCTTGTACTGCGTTCACGAAACTTTGGTAAAGCTGGTAGGTGCATAATGGATTTGGCAATTCTCTGTAAAAAATACATCAATATAGGTTTTATTATAGTCAATATACACAAAATTCAACGGATTATAACAAACAAAAGGCGAAATTCGATCTAAGATAGAGCAGGCTAGAGCTGCTAGACGGATGTCCAAGGTGTTATGTAACAGAGACCTAAAATTGACATTGAGGATCCGTCTACTTCGCTGCTACGTGTTCTCGGTCTTACTTTATGGTGTTAATTCCTAGACTGTGAATAAAATCGATCTAAAACTCCTAGAGGCTTTCGAAATGTGGTGCTATAGAAGAATTTTAAAAGTTTCCTGGGTGGAGAAAATTCGAAACTCCATAATACAATACTAGAACGTCTCAGCAAGACTACTGAGATCATAAAAAGCATCAAGCAGAGAAAGCTGGAGTATTTCGGACATATAATGAAAGGTCCTAAATATAGGTTGCTACAAAATATCATGCAAGGAAAAATAGCAGGCAAACGCAGTCCACGACGAAGAAAAACCTCATGGTTGAAGAACTTGCGAGATTAGTATGGTGTTGATACAAGCATGCTATTTAGGATGGCAGTGAATAAAATTAAGATAGCTATGACGGTAACCAACGTTCTGATAGGACATGGTACACGAAGAAGAAGAAGAGCAGATGTGAATAAAGTATTTTCTTCACCTTCTTCGTATGTTAGACCTTAAGACCTGCTGTTGCCGGTCTGATTTAGCAGTATTTACGATGTTGACTGCCAGCTATCTCTTCCATCTTTTAGGTAGTCTGCCTTGTGATCTTTTAACTTCTGGTTTTCCAGCCCTTACTATTCGGGCAAGTCTCTCTCTTTCCATTGTGTTAATATCTTGGTTCCATTGTCATTTTGGCGTCCCTATCTGACATATCATGGACTCTACACATGTCTCTGATTAGTGTATTAGGGATTCTGTCTCTTAAAGTTTTACCTGCTATCGCTCTTAGTGTTTTCATCTACTTATATGCGTGCTTTTTCCTTCTATCCTTATATTCTTAGTTCTTCATATCACGTCTTATAGGCATCTTGGAACGTACTCTGCTGTATTAGCTTCTATGCGGGTTCCTTCAGAGATGTTTCCATAATACGATATTTGCGTTCTCAGATAGTTAAATTTCGATACTTGTTTTATTATCTCTTCGTTTATTACAATTTTGCATCTCACTGGCTCCCTAGCAATAACAAGGGACTTTGTTTTTAGTGCTGATATTTTCAAGTTAAACTTTTGTGCGTTAGCTTCCAAAGCGTGGACCATTTGTTGTAGGTCATCTTCATTATTTTATATTATTACTGCATCATCTGCGTTGCTCTAGAATCTCTAGAATTTCGTAGAATCTCTATTGCTCTGTTGCCCATTTTGTACCCCGTTTCTGACTTTTTTACTTCATCTTTTTTTTGCCCATCATCAAGCTAAACAAGAACGGGGTGAATAAATCTGGAAGAGTTACAAGTGAGGAAGCAACTACAGGTGCAGACTCTATCGCCTTGTTAAGTCCACCGTTGCTTTTACTAGTCAGGTATAATCTGAATGGATTTTGAAGATTTATTGGATGTTATATAAAACTTTCTCCTTTTTATTGAGTCATAGATCTGATGTCGAGATTGAAAAATCTACTGTGTGGGTGATGGAATAAAAACCATGGAAAAAATCGTTTGAAGCGCCCACAGATGACCACCAATAGTAAACGTTGTAAATTGGAGAAGAGCTGCCATAAACAGACAAAAAAGTATTTTATTGTTGACAATTGTGTGTTAAAATACTAAAAGACATAGACTTGAAAGCTCAAAGAATGAAAAAATATAACCACTAGAATTTTTATTCTTTTATTGACATCTATCTCAAGCAAATTTGCTTAAAATTGTGATACATGTTATAGAAAGCGAACTGGAAATTACAGTAATCTTTAGCTAACAAACTACTAAGATGTTTTTTTTAAATATTTAATATTTGCGTCTGTTCCAACGGAAATGCAAAATAAATAGCATCATATTAATCTATTTGCACAAAACAAAAAAAATATATAAAAACCAAAGTTGCAATGTTGATGGTATCATTCATCAGCGACATTTCAGAAGTTTGGTGTTCTTTTAAGTTGTTTGGCAAGTTTAAAAAAAACAAACAAGTAAACATGGGTGCCAAAATGATTTTGATTTTCGCTTTTGTGCTGCTTGTTGTTATTGAAGACAGTCATCAATTACGTAAGTATCGATCAATTCTACTATTTATTATTGAACTTTCACGAGAAGCTGTCGGTCCCTCTGGGCTAAAGATGCAATTCGCGTTGAAACAATCCAAAGGGATCTTACCGGTAAAAAT